GTGGAATCCTGGGCGGGCGAAAGGCCACCAGCAACTCAGGGGTCAGCACGCGAGTGCGGTACTGCCTCCTCCTCGCGCACAGAAGACGACACATTATGGAAAACTTAATGAAACCGTGTTGAGTGTGATGTGAACAACCCGGAATCCGACGATGAGATTGCAAAGCTCTCTCCATAACTGCAAACATCATGGGAACTGAAGGTGGCGTCGGACAACCAAAAGATAATGGCCTAAATATTTACTTTTCCAGTGTTTCTCTCTGCTTCACAGTTTGTTATTTAAGTAAAGTCTGCATTAATTTTTATGCATTAAATTCTTTTAGCTTCCCATAACCACAGTAGAGAATGGAAAAATGATGTTCATAAGAAGCTATAAAAGGTACATTATTTATCCAAGAGAGAACTTGCCTTTGCAACTGCTTGCTTCTTATCCTGACTCGGAAGATATGTGTCTGTGGAATTTTTAATAAATATGTAGTATTTATTTGACAAACTAATTTATGAGAGTTTTTCCCCCTTAATCTACCTAGTAACATATCATATATATTTCCAAATCTAAATTACCAGATAGTTCGTATGGGTGGCAATAACTGCGTTCATTGTCCTACTGACCCACTGTTGGAATCAAGCTGATGTTGGCACAGCTATGCAAGCTTTAAGACCTCTTAGACACAGGTTACTTACTGACGAAGCGGGCGATTTGCTCAATATCGATAACGGATACTTTTAAAAACCCATCAATAGACTGCGAACTAACTAGATGTTATGTTTTCAAAAAACTGTATTAAAAGTTATATTAGTGCAAAATTGAACTAGTCAACTCCATCACTTTTCCTCCTACAATATAAAAAGCAAGATATATTTGTTTAAAATTATATACATAACCAAAAAATCTTTCAAGACTTTTAAGCTCGAAGGAGATCTTTCTGGGCGAGTCTCTCTGGCCCCTGAGAAGAGCAGCGCGCGGCAGGAGGGCCGGGCGCGTGGGCAGGGCGGCGGCCAGCTGCCCCCTCACGCCCCGAATCTCTCATTTTGTCCCTTTCCAATATTTATGTCCTTTACACATAAACAGACCAAAGGATCGAGGTTTAGGCATTCGTGTACTCAGTGTGCCTTAAACACTACACTATGTTACGACATTTACTTTTGAAAAATTATTTAAGACACATTCTCCAAAAGCAAACGTCTGTAGCTAGCTTATCAACAGACGGCAGCCATCATGCCCAGTGTTTCTCTCTCCTCGGGGGACTCGCTCTAGGAGAGGGGGGACCGTGCCAGCGAGGGGGTCCTGCGTCCTCATGCGAAACCAAGGCGCATGTCAGGGACACAGGCGTGTTTTCTGGGCACCACCTCTGATGCCCAGTTCTGCTTTTCACCAAGAGAAGAGAACATCAAATCGGTTAAAAACAAAAACAAAAAAAACCCAGGTGAAGGTGGAATTCGAAAGGCGTGGAAATGTGGGCACAGACGGCCCAAGTGAGGCAGAATGACACCCCTCCCAGCCACCTGTATTTCCAGGTGACAAACAGGAAGGAACGTAATTTCAGACGTGGGGGAGCAGAAAAGCCAGGCACACAATCACACCCGTTTGTCAGTAAGAGCAACTGAGACTCGAAATGTGCTGATGACCCCATAAGGAATAATGGGTTCCATGCCAGACAAAAAAGAAGCGAGTGACGAAAAGAACTGGAAACCTAGTTTTTTCCAGGTGTGCAGCAGGCACGGGAAGGCCAGCGTCGGACAGAGTGTCACACCCGGATCCAGCCAAGTGCTGCCGAAACGTTTGTGTTCCGAGTGATACCTTTTCACAGAGGAAAACAAGTGGGTAAAACACTCGAGACACCTTCGTAAGTCGAAGAGCTAATCATTTTATTCATGCTCGCCATTCTCTCCTTCCGGCTTCTCTACGCGAAATGAGGGTTAACGACCTGCCGCACTGAAGCTCCGCGGCCTGGCATGACACAGTGATCGTGTTGTCTCGTTTCCGCTTAACTGATTTTCTTCTCCCACGCTCAACACACTCTCCCTAAGTCGCCGCCTGCGTTAGATTCTGGAAATAATTCCCAAATTATTCCCAAACTGAAAAGCAACAAAAGCTCTTTTCCCGACTCTGGTGATGCTTGGTCTGTTTGGCGATGGCGTCCGCCCATCTTCCCCTGGCAGAGTGAGATTGCTCGGCGCAGGTCCCCCCTTCCCCCACCGTGAGACCTGTGGAGTTGCGGGGGTGCCTCACTAGAGACATCCCATGATCCGAGGAGCGTCACTCGAGGGCCCAGGCTACACCCAACATCCACGTGTGGGAACTGGCGGGTGGGCTAGGCCATGTCCTGGCCCCACACGCACTTTTAAACCACCCACAGGAAGGGAATAAAAGTAAGGGCGTAGAATGCGGAACAGATCGTGTGTCAACAGAAAAAGATTACAATTGGTCTGTCTGGTAAAAGTAACGTTTGCTTAATTCGGGGGTCTCTATCCTTTATTAGTAATTATTTTTGTAAGTTGTGGCTTAGTAATTTGTTATATCTGACTCAGGAAAGCCTCGCCCTCTGATCCGTAACCGAAGCTGTCCTCGGACATTGTAGGTCCGCAGACTCCGCGCTCCGACGCGGCCGTTGCCTGCTTCTCCGCCTGCGGAATGGGCTGGTGGCCTCGCCACGTCAGGGCGAATGCAGACGGGTCGGCTACTTCACACGCCATCCAGACCCGTGAGTAACATGCAGAACAGCGATGTTTGGCTAAAAGCATAAACGAGCTACTTAATTTACATAAGGAACATTACTTTGTTTACATTTGTGTTTAAAGTAATGAAAAATCATGTAAGAGAAGGAAAATTACTTTTTGCGATCAGGAGTGTCGTTTTTATTCCAATTTGGGAAGCTCTCGTCCTGAGCTTTGTGCTATCGCTGGGGGCGATGGGGTG